TCATATCAGAGCTTGGGTACTGGTGGTTCACGCCACCAGGAAGCAGAGATCAAGAGAATCGAAGCTCATAGCCAGGCCTGGGTAAAAAGTTCTAGAGACCCTATCTTGAAAAAAAGGACTGGTAGAGTAGCTCAAAGTGTATGCCCTGAGTTCAAACCCCAGTACCGCAAAAAACAAAACAAAACAAAAAAAATCCTCTTATCAGTAATAAGAAAATTTTTAATTTGTTTAGCATTAGTAAGGTTTGAACTCAGGACTTTGTGCTTGAGGCAGGCCCTATACCACTTGAGTCACCCCTCCCATCCATTTTTGCTCTGGTTATTTTGGAGATGGAGTTTCATCAACTATTTCGGGCTGGCCTGGAACCTCTCTTCTCAACCTCAGCCTCCCAGGTAAAGGAGGATTACAGGCTTGAGCCCCTGCGCCTGGTTTATTTTCTCTTAACAACACTTGGGGGACCGCAGGGGCACTTGGAGAAGAAAGATGGTGGTGGTGGCAAGGCCAAGGGCGGGGAGCAACGGCTCGAGTCATCATGAAGTGCTCCCCGCGAGGTGTCCAACATCGATCAGGAGGCGCTGGTGCTCACGCCAAGGTCACGGAGCTCTGGTTCATTATCGACCACCCATTGCTACAGACACGCGGTGGGACAGAAAAGAAAGCACCGACCTTAGGTGATTCGGCGAACACTGAAGAGGAATCGGAAACTTTCCAGTTTCTTGCAGACATACTACCAAAGACTTGGGCTAGTGAGTACCTGAAAATGCTTAACGAGAAAAGGGAAGGGGAGAACAAGAACGATGATGAGAGTGGCAATGACGAATGAGTCCTAAACCCAGAGAAGGGTTATTTAAATGTCAGTGGCGAGGATGCTCCTGGAGGAGCAGCGGCCCTGAAGTGAGGACATGGCTGGGCGGCTCCAGTCTCTGGCTTTCTCAGGCTTCCAGCAACCATCGTACTGTTTGCTGGCTAAGATGGCATCTCCTGCACCCGCACCACAGAGCTGAAGGGGAACCCACGCCCAGCGGGGCCCTCAGCTGCACCGGGCACCTGCAGCTTCCTTTTAATTTGTCATAGTGTCCTGGGTGTCACTGTGTACACGCGTATATATATTCTGAAAGTTGTTCTTGAAAACAACCAGATTATTTTAGCTAGATATGTAGGTTATAGGTAGTGTAAGTCTTTGAATCTTTTGTATTTTTTAAAAAATTTGACAATTTGTTCCTATTCTTTTTATTATAAAGAAATCTTTTCTCTTTTTCTATTAAAGGTCTGCACATATTTTTATAGTAAAATGCTCTATCAGAGTAGTTTTATAGCCCCCTATTGTTCTTACTTTCCACTTGGGAATTTTGTAATTTAAAAGTGAGCATTTCTGGCTGGGGATGTAGGTCAGTGGTAGAGTGGGTGCTTAGAATGCAGGAGGTCCTGGGGTCCATCCCTAGCTCCAAACCACCACAAAACCCACTTTCATTCCCAGAGGAAAATGTCAAGTCAAATTATCAAGTGAAACACAAGAAGAAATGTTACTTCTGCATAAGGAAGGATGCTGTTCTTTAAAAACATTGTATATGGAAGATATTTCTCATGTTTCTGTTCTTTCAACTCTCAGTAATTGTTTTTACTGTTTGCAAGAGAAAACCATTAAACCTTTTTTTTCATATGGGGGAAAAAAAACCATTTAGGAGGCTGGTGGAGTGGCTCAAAGGGTCCCAGCGCCTGCCTAAGGGAGGCCCTGAGTTCAAACCCCAGTATGAACATAAAAAGAAATGCTTCCTAGAATATATGGAAACCACCCTTGCTGTCTTGCACATTTCAACCCTAATGTTACCTAGGTGCCTAGCTGCAGCCAAGTAAAGCCAGGGATGATGTGACGTCAACTTGATTGAGCTGCTGAAGACTACAGGCCCTGTTCCTAGGAAAGCACACGAGCGCATAGTTCCCAAATCCTATACAACTTCAGGAGTTTGATGGCTCCCATCCCAAATCCCATTGTGGAATCCTTAATTACAATTTTCTGCACTAGGGCAGTTTCTTTTACAAAACTATATTTAGGTATTTGTAGAACAATGAAAGTGCCAGGTAATGTTAGGCTCCAGGAACTCTGTGATATACATCATCAGAGAAGGACCTCAAAGTCATAGAATTTATAGTCTACCAGGGAGACAGACCTCAAATGGTCCCACAGAAAGATGCATGAAAACATTTCGATAGGCTGGTGGACAGGTTCAAGCATACAGTGCCTGCCTAGCAAGCACAGAGGCTGAGTCCTCAGTGTAGCAAAAACAAAAGCAAAACCCCACTTTGATTAGGTGCTATGAGTGACAGTGTTGTTGCATATAAGGGAAACCGACTTAGTTGCTCTAAAGTGAGCATAAAGGGTATTTTGTGAAGGCAGGTGCTACAAGGGAAAAAATAAAGAAGTAGTAAGAGGCCTCTTGAAGGTGTCATTTAAACTAGTATCTGAGGGCTGCAGAGTGGCTCAAGCAGTAAGACCACCTGCCTAGCAAGCGTAAGGCCCTAAATTCAAACCTCAGGGCTGCAAAAAACAAATAAGGTGTGAAATCCAGTGGTTCAAAAAAATAAAAATAAAACACTAGTATCTGACACTTGCTATGCTTCATATTCCTTTAAGTGGGAAATATACTAAATCTAAGGTGGCTGATGAACATTAAAGCCTTTCCCATTCCCTGCCTTCCAATCTGATAAAGATTTTAATAATTACAAGAGTAGAGAAAATATTTGATATTGCTGTTAGAAGTATAGATTTAAACCATAAATTTAAAAAAATTATGTAGGCACATGTACTTTTTAATTTAAGAGTTACACTTACAGGCTGGGGGAGTGGCTCAAATGGTACAGCATCTACTTAACAAGTGTGAGGCCCTGAGTTCAAACCCTAGTACAACCAAAACAAGAAAAAAAAATAGTTATACTTACAGTAATTAAGCTAAGGAGATACTCAGAAATGATGCACCAGGATGATAATAACAGCAGTATTTATAATATAGGAACAAATAAAAACAATGTCTAGGAAGTTAATTAAAATATAATTTAGAATATGTACAAATTAAACCAGAATATCTAATTATAAAATTCATATTGAGTGAAAAAAGCAAGTCACAAGACGCACAATAAGCCTTATTTTTGTTTCTAAAACATATTCATGCAGAGAAATAAAAGAAGATATGCAAAAATGTTAGTGTTTTTTTTTTTTTTTATTGCAGTACTGGTTTGAACTCAGGACCTACACCTTGAGCCACTCCATCAGCCTTCTTTTGTGATGGGTTTTTTGAGATAGTCTCTTGAACTGTTTGCCCAGGTTGGCTTTGAACCATGATCCTCCTGATCTCTGCCTCCTGAGTAGCTAGGATTACAGAAGTGAGCCACCAAGCACGATTCAGTTTCAATGGGACAGTTTTTTAATTTCTAATTTTTAATAAATGTGTTCTATTCATGGCTGGAAAATAGTGCCATTAGAAAAGTTAGGATCTCAGTAGAGATTAGTTAGTAGATACTATGCTCCTTAAAAAAGTATTTTTTTTTTTTGCTATTGGCCAACCAGAGTGGGCTTTCTCACAATTAGTAGTTTTATAAATGTTTAATGGAAAAGCAGAATGAAAACTGTCCTCAAAATACTCCAACACTGCTGCCATTACCCTGGTACACATTCTCAAACCAAGAGTATCCAAACTCTCTGCTAAGCTTTTACCAGAAGTGGGGCGGGAATGTAGAGTTCAAACTGAATCCTATGTGACAGTGCCCTCTGGTGGCTTCAGCAATAATACTTTATATCAACTTGACTGGGTATTTTTATGAAGCTAAATTTACTCAATTTAAAGGCCCATCCACTTAAGAGGGTCACCATATTATTTCCTTTATTCTTTCCTGTCCACTATATTTTACATTTTACTGGCCACCTGGGATTTCCTTTACTTAGACAGAAATTTCATTTATTCTTACAATAGAAGTTTGAATAACCAAAGACTTTAAAAGAACCAATAGACTTTGAGTAAGAAATTATCATTTATTCTGTTTTACAATAGAAGTTTGAATAGGGCTCCTTCCCACCTTAAAAGATTCCTCAACTGCAGCAGTGCTACTAGGGATCTTTTTAAGTGGATAATAGCATTAATGCTAATTTGGTGAAACATTTCAATCACAGAGCTACAGCTGTTTGCATGTTGTTCTGAAGCCAGCATAATTTTTAGACAAACAGAGAAAGAAAAAAAGAACTCTAAACAAATTATATAATATTCTTTCTAGAAAAATCTGTAGGAAAGTACATGCCTAGGTGAAAGACAGCCACCCATTTGTCATCATAATGCACTGAAGAAGAGGTTTGGAGCCCGCAGTTTGGATCCTGGCTCTCCTTGCTGGTATTCATTTGCCTTTCTTGTAAAATGAGGTTGCTGCCCCTCCTTAAAAGGACCACTGTGAGACTTTAGTAATGTATGGAAAGGGCCTCAAGCATGGTGGAAACTAATTCAAATGTAATTAAGTGAATTATTTTCTAGAAGCCAAGGGAAACACGACAGCAATCTATTTTTGGGTGCACCTCTTAAGTTTTTTCTCAAAGGCACTTTAAAAATCTCTTTATAAGGAGAAGCATGCGTATATTATTAATACAGCTAATATTAACTGTTAATATTATTAATACAGTTAATGTACATACAGTTAATGTACAGTTTTTGACTGATGATATAAGGAGGCTAAGGCAGGAGGATTAAGAATTCAAGGCCAGGCCAGAGCCAGTGACTAGCTCTCAGGATGCAGAGATCAAGAGGATTGTGGTTCAAAGCCAGCCCAGGCAAATAGTTCAAGAGACCCGATCTCGAAAACCCCATCACAAAAAAGGGCTGGTGGAGGGGCTCGAGGTATAGCCCTGAGTTCAAACCCCAATACCACAAAAACAAAAAGAAAGAATTCAAGTTCCAGGGCAAAGAAACAAAAACCAAAAAACTTTAGTATCTGAAAAGGAAAATAAAATATTTTTTAAAACAAGAATGTCAAATCCAGAATTAATATAATAAAGAAATAAATATTCTATTCTATGAAAAGGCATTTTTTATTATTTTACTATATAACATATTAGTAAATACACCAGACCACATTTTCTCAATGCCAAATGTGGCACAGGATTATATTTCTCTTTGATCCTCCAGAGAACCTCAGTGTCATCTGTCTTTTGGAGGGTTCATTTTCTTACGACGTCTGTGATACCTTGAAAAGGAGAAAGTATTTAAGATAAGATTATTTTGATAAAAATTAGTTACTCCTGATAGAAATCTTAAATTTCTATCATTTTGCTATTTTTATTAGAACTATTTGAAAAATAGACAAAACTTTTAAATTATACTGTTAGAGACATCACAGGTATTTCTTAATCACATTCCCACATTATGAAAACTTTTCTATTTTTTAGTGGAGTTTGAACTCAGGGCTTTGTACTTGCAAGACAGGCACTCTACTGCTTGGGCCGCACCTCCAGCCTGAAAACTGTTTTTATTAAGTATTTTGGAAAATCTTCTTTTGGATCCTGAGGATAATTTCAAGAAAATTATGATGACTGGTGTTGAAAACCTAGTGAATTTTATAGTTAAGAAACTCTACCTCACCAGGCACCAGTGGCTCACATCTGTAATCCTAGATACTCAGAAGGCAGAGATTAAGAGGATCTCAGTTCAAAGCCAACCCCAGGCAAATAGTTCGTGAGACTCATTACTAAAAAAGTCTGGTAGAGTGGCTCAAGGTGTAGGCCAAGTTCAAACCCAAGTACCAAAAAAAAAAAAAAAAGAAACACTACATAAATACAAACATGTTTTATCAAAGTTTTGTTTAAAAACGGTATTTTCCTCTGAACAGAGGCCTCTTAAATTGCAAAGTTATGTTTTAATATGTAGTAAAATGTAGTTAGTAATATGCCTATGGAAAAATGTGAAATGTGACAAAAAATGGAAGAAATACAAACTGGAAAATTAGGAACATTTTACTTGTTTTTGTGATCAGAAATACGTTAAAAATTATAATATCCAATCCAAGCACAGATATAGTGAGGCTAGCAATATCAGACTTGGCTGGTTACAGTATTAATTCATACAATACTTTTGAAAAGCAGTGTGGTAACATACATCAAAAATTATTCAGCTGCTGGACGCTGGTGGCTCACGCCTATTATCCTAGCTACTCTGGAGGCAGAAATCAGGAGGATTGAGATTCGAAGCCAGCCAGGGCAAATAGTTCAAGAGACCCTATGTTGAAAAACCCATCACAAAAAAAAAAAAAGTGTGGGGGCAGGGGTTGGTGGAGTGGCTCAAGGTGTAGGTTCGGAGTTCAAACCCCAGAACCGCAAAAAAAAAAAAGAGAAAAAAAAGAGTTTAGCTGGAGATGTGGCTCAAGGGATAAGAGGACCTGTCTAGTAAGTGTGAAACCCTGAGTTCAACCCGTAGTACTGGCTGCCACCCCCACAAAAAATTTCTAACTCTGAGATCTCATATACAAAATACTTGGAATCAGAAATGCTTTAGATTCTGGACCGATAATTTTGCATAATATTTCTAGTGTGTTTGTGTGATTGTTTTATTTATTTATTTATTTGTTTTTGCAGTTCTGGGGTTTGAACTCAGGGCCTTAACATGAAGGCAAAGTGTGGAATTTTCCACTTGTGGCACCATGTCAGTGTTCAAAAAGTTTCAGAATTTGGATTTCAGATTAGGGATGCTCAACTGCAATTCTTATTCTGGAAATCTCCCCTAGAGCAATAAAGAAAAATAATTAAGAGGAGGATACAGGATGAAAATATGATTACAACCATGCAAAAATAAGAAAACTAACCAAACTTATGCATACATACAGAGATATGAAATGCCTTAATTTTGAGCAGGGCATGGTTGTGCACAGCTGTAATCCCACTACTGGGAAGCCTGTGGCAGAAGGATTGTGAGCTCAAAGCCAGCCTAGACTATATAGTGAGTTGCAGGCCAGACTGAACTAAAGAGCAAGACCCTATCTCGCAAAACCAAACCAAATCAAACAAAACAATAAATGACAACAAAAACAAAAAAACTGTGATTAGTTTTCAGTGATTTCACTCTGCAGAATATTTCTTTTTGCTTCTTTGTATTTTCTTATTTTCTCTACTGATTTAAGAAAATTTCTCCATAGAGTTCATATATACTTGTGAAGAATTCTGTTGAAAAGTCCCTTATAGCCAAATTTTAGAAAGCAGCCTGAGTTAATTTGCCTTTTCTTCAATTTTTGCTAATGGGCAAATTTAATTTAAGAATTTTTTGCTTATTTTTTCTTTTTTTGAGATAAGGTTATATAGCTCAGGCTAACCTTGAACTCGCAATCCTCCTGCTTCAGTCTCCCAAGTGCTGGTTATTACAGGTATACACTATCTCACCCAGCTAGCTCAATTTAAAGATCTTTTTTCCTTTTTCCAATAGTAGAGATAAATTTGAAATTTAAGGATTTTAATACCATAAATGGAGATACATATCTTATTGCTCATTTAGTTGATCTAAATGCCTAAGTATTTCTTGCTTTTTTTTTTTTTTGGTTTAATCTTAATGCTTCATATAGCAATTTCCTATATGCTGGCTTTTTTCCTGATCCTGATTTTTTGGGGGACAGTTCTGAGTGATACCAATTTTTTGAAAATTAGTGAATAGAAATCAAGTTGAAAAGAATAAAATACATTTATATTTACTAACATGGAAGAGGAAGTTGTAGAACATATATAGCAAACTAATACTTATGTAAACATCTCTACATGTACTTATCCTGACTGACACAGAGAAGATTACAGTTTTCTAAATAGGAGTTTTCAAAGGAGTATAGAAAATCATTAATCTCCTAAAGATATTTATACAAATTTTGAATATATGTTTTCTTAGGAAGCAGATTCATAACTTTTATTATATTCTTAATGAAGTCTGTGACCCTAAAAATGTCAAGAACTATCCTTTAAACATGTGATTCAGTAAACAATTTAATTATTATTTAAGACTGACTAAAAATGCAAATGTTTTAAAAGTTTAGGGTTATAGCCCTAAACCTAACAAAGTGAAGCTCTAAAGCATGTTTAATAAATGTTAAATAGCACTTATAGATTTCTCACCATGTATGAAATTCACTATATATAATAATCACTAGCCAGAATCAAGCACCTTGATTTTAGAGTAACCTTAAAGTCTATTATCCAACTGGCCCCTTTAGAGAATAAATGCTGGCACTATCATATCACAAGAGTTAAAATGAGACCATTTCTGGCAAACCAGACATACTGCTAGCCTTCTAAAGTTACACAGTGACTCAGTGGCATCTGGAATACCGGTCCACAGTCTTGATCGAGAGTAGAACTTTTTACCTCCTGGCACACACAAAGCTACATCTTCAAATCTGTTTCTCACTGATAACAGCAGCTCATTTCTGTTGTCGCTATGGGAAAATATCAAAGTAGTTCTTTAAATAAAGTACTATTGTTATTTAGTATTTATGGGATTGGCCCATATTTTGAAAATTTATTTTCAGCTTATTACTTTCTATCTAGCCCTCCTCCATCCTTTCTTTCAACATATTTTTTTATTTAGAGGAGTTAGGTTAGCTATCTTCTTGTGTAAGAGGTATTATAACAATAAGATTCATTCATTCATGTAAAAATGTAGGAGAATCAAATATGTTCTGGGATACTACTTCAAAGTCCTAGACTCTGCAGTATACAAAACAAGACAAAAAACCCACTTCAATGGATCTTAAATTCCAGTGCAAGAGACAGGAAAATAAGTAAGTTGGCCAGTGAAGTCTTCATAAGTGAAAACCTGAAGGAAGGGAGAGCTAACTTTACTGGTAGTAGCAGGAAGAGCAACCTTTGGAGAGAATAACAACTGTAAAGGCCCTGATGTGGAAGGGCATGTACAAGGAACAGCAAAGAGGCCATGTGGTTAGAATGAACACAGATGAGAACAGTAGGAAATGAGGGCAGAAAGATATGAAGAGTCAACTCACGTAGGTTCTTGCAGACCTATAGCTTTTGTGAGTGAGATGAAAAAATTATAAGAATCAATAACAGATTTAACAGAGTTACTGTGGCTGAACAGAATTCAAGAAACCAAGACAAAAGTAGGGAAACCAAATAGAAAGCCATTTCAATAAACCAGGCAAAGGATGGTGGCTTTGACCAGGATAATGGTAATAAATTGTTAAATCTGGATAATTTCAGAGCTAGAGCTAACAGGATTTTGCTGACCAGATCTTGGATGTGAGACAGAATCATAAATGGTACCAAAGTTTTTGCCTTAAGCAGCAAGAAGAAGGGAACTGGCATTAAATGAGACAAAGAAGACTGAAGAAGGTGGTTTGTGGGGGATACATCAGAAATGCAGTTATAAACGTATAGTTAGGGAAGTCTACTAGACAGGTCAAGGCAGAGACTGCATACACAAAATTAAGAGCTCAAGGAAAGAGGCCTTGACACGAGATAGGTTTGGGAGCCATTTTCACACAGATGGAATTTAAAGCCGTGAGCCTGGATAAGATCACTATTATAGAGAATAGAACAGAAAAGAGGAAGGGTGCAAAGACTTATCCTTGAGCACTCCAAAATTCAGACAGGAAAGATGAAAGGATACTAACAAGAGAGACCAAAATAGTATAAGCATTTTAGACATGTAAAAAAGTTTCAACATAGTTAACAAAACCATTAGGAACTCTATACAATTGCTAACAAGATGTGTTCTAGAAAGAATTACACTGGAAAGAATGCTTCATTCATTTTTAGCTTTTATTCTATGCCAAGTGAGGAAGACTGAAGAAAGGAATAAGAGCTTGGACACAAATGCTGACAACTGAGGGCAGGGACATGCCCTGCTTCCTGAGAAATGGCAACACTAAAGGCCAAAAGGAGATCCCTTAGGCACAAAGGCAGCTCTTTGGGGAGCTGTGGGAGGCCATGTAATTCAGTTGTGTCCTCAACAACTATTTATAGAATAACTACTGAATCAAATTCCTGTAAGGAATTTGCACAAGGGGTACCTTTCAAAGAATGTTTGAAGCCCTGAAACTTTGAGTAAACATAAAGTAATGACTAAACAAGTTAAATTTATTTTCATCTCCTAAAATACCACCAAACAGGAAATAGAAGCCTCAAGGTTGAATTTGTAAATACCAATCTTTGTACGTATTTCTTTGGATTACAGAAATAGTGACTCAGGCAAAGGCAGAGAGTAGGGAACTAAACTTTCATATTAACCCCAAACCCAATATCCAGGTTTCCTTATCACCCATCTCTCATGCTAAGAATTTAAACAGTTCTAGTACTTGGTCTTAGTATGAAGACTCTTTGAATTTCTACCCTAAAGTAAATAGTATCACCAGAATTAGGAAAAGGCAAGGGAGGGGGTGGGGGCAGGGGGGAGAAATGAACCAAGCCTTGTATGCACATATGAATAATAAAAGAAAAAAAAAGAAAAATAGAGCAAAGGAAATTTTCCCAAATGCTTCATATAATAAATGTGTTTGTTATAACATAAAAAAAAAAAAAGGGAAAAGGCAAAATTTGATTCACAAATTTAATGTAGCAACTTTAACTGTGAAATTTCAGATCTGAGATAATGTAATCAGTATTTTTGGTCAATAAATTATTTCAGCATCAATTCTGTATAGTCATACTGCCTATACTCCCAGTCCACCCACTTTGGATAAGTCTTTGATACAGTCTTTTGATGTGGGGGGAGAGGGAGAAGAAGGAGGTAGGGAGGAGGAAGAAGTAATAGTAGTTAATATATTTAAAAAGCTAATATGTAAAAAAAAAATTCAACTGTATTTCTATATATAACAAACTATCAGAAATTGAAATTAAAAAATCCAATACCATTTACAGTCACAAAAAGGAAAGATGGTATGTTTGGGATAAATTGAACAAAACAATATAGTGCTCATACACTGCTAAGAGCTGGGTGCAATGGTGCCTATCTGTAGTCCCAAGGAATTCAGGAGGCTGAGGCAAGAGGATCACAGTTTGAAGCCAGTCTGGGAAACACAGAGAAACCCTGTCTCCAAAAAAAAAAAAAAAAAAAGCTGGATGTGATGACACACATCTGTAATAACAGCACTTAGGAGGTTGAAGCAGAAAGATCACAGGTTCAAGACCAGCTGGGTTACATAGCCAAGTTCCAAGCTCTGGCCTACCTAGGCTACTGAGCAAGACCCTATGAAACATTGATAAATTATCCATATATTTATATATACATACACACATATATAGAGAAATGGTCACTGATATCTAGAAATCATTACTTGCAAATGGTTTACATTACATTAATCTAAAAGATACATGTAGCTAACCAAATTAATATTTGTTGAGTGATTCCAAGAGAAATTTTTCCTCATGCATATAAGCTAGTATCTGGGTGTTTTTTTGTGGAGCTCTTTATTAAATAGCCTAGACAATCAGTTCCATCTAATTAAAGTCTGCTTACAATTGAAAGTGCCTCCTAATCCTGATGGGAAAAGACATACCAGGAGATTAAATTAAGTAGTAGTCAAAAGCTAATTAGTAGTAACAAAATTAAATAAGTAAATAAGATTAAACACAGGTAAGGTATTAGATACAAGTGTCTGGAGGTAGCATGCTTGGTTTTAAGACTCCTAATGGTCTTCTTGCCTTTAATCATGTCCCCTAAAGTGACGCCCCTTCGGAGGATGTTCACAGCTTCAGTGACTTGGTTATGAAAAATGTTTATGATAGACTGCAGCAATATGGGATGTTGAGAAAGGAAACAAGTAACAAAAACCATCTCAGAAGTTAGAAATGAGGCAAAAATTGATAAAAAATGTGATGAGTCATGGAAAGAAATCTTAGAATACAGTAATGATTGAAGATGCAAGGCTATAGAGTGGACTGCTAACTTGTTCTCATACACCCTAACTTACAATTGCAAAGATAGGTAAAATTCAACAAAATTAGAGATAAGGGCAGAACAGGTTCTGCCTGGAAGTGAGGGGGGAGGAGGGGCAGAGGGTAGGGGAGTGGGGCATGGAGGAGAAATGACCCAATGTGCGCACATGTGAATAAATGAATAAAAAAAAAGAACCACAAAATAAAGTGATTTTAAAGGATAATATAAAAATTTTTTAAAAAACCAAAGATATGTAAAAACCCAGACAGCATGTATAAACAAAGTCAGCACTAAATATGAAAGAAAAATCAAGGAAGGAGATTTTAAAAAAGAAAAATAGAAGCAGGAATTGAAAGATCATGTTGGTCAAAAACCAATTTTTCCCCCCTTGGGAAAATGATACAGAAACACCACCTTTCATATAGAAACTGAAAAGAAAAGGACTTTTTTAGGCAGGAAAAGAAGAGTTGTGTTTTTTTATAATGAAATAAAAAATTTGGAAAGAAGTTTAGTTTGAAATATTCTAAGGACAATGATACCAAGACTGAAGAACTAAAAAAAATGGCATAGTAGAATGGGCTGCATGCCATCCCTACAGTGACTAAAGCTCTGAGAATACTGGGTATGGTAGTGCACTGCTATAATCTCAGCACATGGTAGGATAAGGAAGGGAGATCACAAGTTTGAGACCAGCCTGGGCTAAACAGTAAGTTTGAGGCCAGCTTGGGCTACATAGTAAGATTCTGTCTCAATAAATAAATAAATTTTTAAAAAGCTCTCAGAGGGAATTTCACCAAGATGTATATATAGTACAAGGCAGTGCTTTGAGGAATCTTTATCACAACTAAGAATAAGGGAGGAAGTCACTTTCTAAAAAGCAAACTGAAACCAGGTACCAGTCGCTTATGCCTGTAATCCTAGCTACTTAGGAGGAAGAGATCAGAAGGATCACACTTCAAGACCAGCAAGACCTTATTTCAAAACTACCTAACATATACACAAAAAAGAGACTTGGATGATTCAAGTGGTAGAGCACCTCCTAGCAAGTGTGAGACTCTCAGTTCAAACCTTAGTACCAGCAAAAAAAAAAGTAAACTGAGCTCCAGGACCCACAGATCCATTTCAGAAATGTTCCCCACCAGATGGTTCCCAGACCCCCTTTCAGATTCAACATGATTAACAATGGGTTCCATCCTCCTCACTCCTGAACTTGTTTCCCCATTCACAAGAATGGCACCATCATCTGCCAAAATACCCCAGTCAGAAACGAGAAGTCTTTTGTCTCTTCCCTCTCTCCCTATCACACACGTACTAAGATTAATTAAACTCCTTACAACACCAATTCTCTTTTATTTTCACTCTTTATACTCCAAGTGGTGATCCATTTAGATTTTCAACATTTTTTATCAGATTATTATTATAATAGTTTCCTGACAGGTCTCCCTGACCCAGCATTTCCTTATCACAAAAAAAGAGCTTCCTTAACGATTTCCTAATGCATAAATGTTGGACAAGCTAGTTCATGTTTTAAAATTCCTTGGCACAAAAATCCTTCATAACACAGTGAACCCCCCATATTGTTCAATTAATATGCACTAATAAAAATGTGGAAGCTGGGTGCTGGTGGCTCCCACTTATAATTCTAGCTACTCAGGAGGCAGAGATCAGGAGGGTAACAGCCCAGACAAATAGTCTGTGAGATCCTATTTCCAATACAAAACAGAACTGGTACAGTAGCTCAAGTGCTAGAGCACCTGCCTAGCAAGTGTGAGGCCCTGAGTTCAAATCCTGACCCACCAAAAAAAGCAAAAAAAAAATTCCTTCATAACATCCTACATTCCTCCTCATATTCTGGGTTCCATCCAATGTGAATGCCTGATGATTTCCCCAGCACACTTTATCTCACAGGCTATTCTTTTCCCCCATTCCCCATAGATATCGCTGAACCATCCTTCAGTGCTCAATCACACTTGATATTGTTTATTTACTCTACTATCTTCACTTCTTAACTATCAACAACTTACAAATAGGAATTGTTTCTCATCCTGCACTTAGGGAAGTTCCATGAATATATATTCATTAGTTTCATAAATGTATCCTGCCGTCAGTATACCAGCCCACTGGTAGTTACTGGGTGATACAAGTGAGTAAGAGTCTACTCAAACAAACATAAACGACATAGATATGAAAGAAGATCCTGGACTGGGACTGTAATCTAGTGTTACAGCGACTGCCTAGCATGTGCAAACCCCTGGGTTTGACCCCCAGCACCACAAGAAATGGGAAAAAAAAAAAAAAAAAGAGAGAGAGAGAGAAGAAGAAAACTAATGAAAGCTAGAGTCAGACAGAGTAAGAACTGATGTAATAAAATGTGAGCACTTATAAATGGAAGGGAAGTTGTACTTCCTAAGGGAACAAACAGTATGCAATCGTACTTGGAGGTAATTTTCCCATGCACAATATCATTTCAGAAGGTGTAAGGCAAGGAAAGCTGTATGCTCTTTTAGTGTGCATACTGGGAATTGAAGAAAGAAAATAAAACTTACTGTCCACGAGGATACCAGCAATGCTTAGTGGTAAAGAACATTTTGCTAAGTTGTTCTATCATGGGTCCTTGTTCAAGGTGTTCACCTTTTTCTTCTAATTTGGTTTTCAGCACTTGATCATGTGTTTCTTCATTATTATGCACAGGATCTGGTCGAGGGATAGGCTACAAATAATCCATAACAAATAATATAAAAATGTAGCAATATTAGCCAGGATTTGATTGGGTTTACAATCAGTAATTCATTACACTCAGTAATTCATTACAGTAGCTCGGGGTGGGTAAGTTTCACCTGGTTATAACAGTCAATAAGGTCCAAAATATTTTTATTCTCACAGCAAATTTTGGGTTTCTTTTCCCAAAATAATAAAGTGCTTATTCAAGTTATTTTTCCTCAATAATAAAGTACTTGTTACTTTAGTTTTTATTTCTCCAAAGTATAAATTGGGTCCATTATTATTTTTTAACTTAACAGTTCATGGTTGGGCTGGCACAGTGGCTCACTCAAGTAGGAGAGTGCCTGCCTAGCAAGCATAAGGTCTTAAGTCCAAACCCCAGTACCACAAAATTAATCAATCAATCAATCAATCATATTTCTTATATCTAATGGAAGGAAGCAGGAAATTTTCCAGTGCTTTATGGTAATTTCAATATTTTACCCACAAAGACATTAGTTACTAAAAATGTCATCTCCCTAACACACACATAGTACAATATACTCCCATCAGTAATAGTGGCTCATCAAAGGATTTAAGAATCACTAACTGAAGCCAGGTGCCTATGGCTCACACCTGTAATCCTAGCTACTCAAGAGACAGAGATCAGGAGGATTTCAGTTCGAAGCCAGGCCAAACAAATAGTCTGCTAGAACCTATCTTGAAAAAAATCCCATCACAAAAAAGGGCTGGTGGAGTAGCTCAAGTGGAAGAACACCTGCCTAGCAAGAGTGAGGCCCAAAGTTCAAATCCTAGTACCTCCCCCCAAAATTAATAATAATAAACAAAGTAGAATTTTATGGAAACAATCATTAATCAAGCATTAATTAATGAACTTTCCAAAAGGATTGTGATAAAAACCAAGGATCTGAAGGCATGCTGTCCATTCGTGGATGGACTACATATGACATGGTTTCATGGCATCAGCCTTTCTCTTCAGAACACTTGTTTGGCTAACTTCTGAAACAATCAAGAGCCACACCTGGTATATTCCATAATAAAATAAGACTATTTTTAGCTGGGTGCCATTGGCTTACGCCTGTAATCCTAGCTACTCAGGAGGCAGAGATCAGGAGGATTGAGGTTCTAAGCCAGCTCTGGCAAATAGTTCATGGGACCCTATCTCAAAAAAACCTATCACACAGTAAAAAAAAAGGGCTAGTGGAGTGGCTCCAGATGTAGACCCCAAATTCAAACCCCAGTACAGGGAGAAAAAAAAAAAAACTTCCTAGCAATTTCTTGAGAATTTCACTTGAAATGGACCATGTTGCAAGACTAATTTGATATTTCTATGACATACAGAAGACATTGAAATGTAACAGTACCCTTGTTTATGTCTTTATTCTATTTTGGTGATATTTAAATTGATTCTGTTATAAGAGTAAACTGATTACTTAGAAGTCTGAAGAGAAGGGCTGGTGTTGTGGCTTAAGTGGTAGAGTGCCCGCCTAACAAGCACAACACCCTGAGTTCAAACCCCAGTACTGGGAGAAAACAAAAAAAACCTGAAGAGACTAGCATTCATAATAAAATTATCCTGTGATTTAAAAAAATGCTAAGTAACAAAAACAGCAGTGAGAAGTAGATAAGGAGTCAAATCAGAGCCTTGTTACGGAGTATTTTAAAAGGGAAAAGAAATGTAAGTAATAGAACTTAGGCAAAAATACATAGTAAAGAGGTAATTTTAAAAAATGAACTACAAGAAATCAGATTATGAGAAGCCTCTAAAGTTAGACTAAGTGGTTAAGGAAGCAGTTACTTATTAGTAAGTACAGGAGAGAATAAGGAGAACGTATAATGAAGAGGTATAGAATATGCACTATGGTCTCTGATTCTACCACTTAGTAGCTCTGTGGCTTTGGGCAAGTTATTTAAACTCTTAAATTTCTCTATGTAAAATCAGAGGAGTAATATCTCTTATAAGGGTTTGATGAGGATTAAGTTAAATAACATATAGTACGTTTTGCTGTCCCTCATACTCTTAAGAGTTTAATAAATGGTACCTAGCTATTTATATTTCTTTTAAGACCTCAAACAGGGAAAAAGGTGGTATAAAAATATTTTAAAGAGGTAGTACTGGGTTGGGGGCATAGCTGAAGGGGTAGAGTACAAGACTCTGAACTCAAACCCCAGTACTGCCAAAATAAATGGGAAATGGTCTACAGACATTTAAAGTAATTTTAAAAGATCACCTCTTTTGTATAAAGTAAAACATTAGTGTCTTTGTAAATTACTAGTATACCTTGAGAAGTACTAACAAACATAATAAAAGCTATCAAAATCAAAATGGAGTCACTTATGTCAAACCCTAAACAAACAAAAAATAATAAAGCTGAGCAATTATGAGGAGGGGAGCTCAGCTTACACACCTGATAACAAGCAATAACACAAAGACTGCCAGAACCACAACCTTGCACAAAGGTCACTGCAGCCTTACACCAAAAATTACATCACTAGAATTTTTGCATAACAACTGCCTGCTCAACCTTGGGCTGGCCACCATTGTTATTGATTCTTGCAGCCAGGGATTGCTGCTTCAAAAGAATGCATGCAGTCTTCCTCACATTGCCTTTAGAAATTTCCCCTCCTCTCAAGCTTTACAATGCACTCAGTCTACTGTGGCACTAGTATTCCCATTGCACTCCTTTGCTACTCTTGAATAAACTATCTTTGGATAACCTATCCCTGCAGTTATTTAGGTTGACAGAACCTGTAAATAAATAACAATTTTCTCTCTTTAGGATTTTATACTTGTTTCTGAAGATCACATTTTAAATATTATCAAAAAGTCGTCAAGTGTTAATGAATGTTCATTGTCTCCCTATTCCCAAGCAGGCTTAATTCTAATATATCACAAATTCTCTCTGCTTCCTATAGCTTAAAAATTTTTTTTCAGGTGCATAGATAAAAAGACATTGGAATTAATGGACATGTTAAGGTACATAACAAGAGACCCAAAGAACTCAGAATTTCTTTTCTTTGACCAATTCCAAAGTATATGTAAGTATTTCAGTAAAATGGAAAAACCAAGATAAAATAGAATGTCAACTTTATGAAATAATGAGAACTGTCATCCTGATTTTCTCTTGGTTCTCTTAAGAATTTTTAAGTTTGGCTTTGGAAATCTTCCACTAAATCAATCACTGAAAAAAAGACATGCTTACGTATTTACATTTTTATTTTATTTTTAATTTCTGTTCCTGGTATAATACCTTCATTTTCCAAAACTGGAGATCCTAAATACCAGAAAATTTTTTTTAAATGTTAGTATTTTAATACATATGAGGCAGAAATAGGAGAAGAAGCTTTATACTTACATTTATAAAAAATGATCATATCTTCAATTCAACAATGTTGGAGAATGTAATAGTAAGTCTAAAATCTCCAGAAAGAATGCAAGGATGGAGCTGGAGAAATGACATGTGGTTCATAGATAACAGCAACAACAAAAAGAAAGGAGATGGTACAGTTTGATGATAAAACTTACAAACCAGCCAGGCAAGGTGGCATAGATTTGTGATGCCAGCACTAGGGAGACCGAGGCAGGTGGATCTTGAGTTCCAGCCAGCCAGGCTATGTAGCAAGACTCTGTCTTATAAAAACAATTAACATGTAGACTGGAGGTGTGGCTCAAGAGGTAGAACAGCTGCCTAACAAGCATGAAGCCCTGAATTCAAACACCAGTACTATAAGACAAAACAAATAAACAAAAAACAACAAAAAGTAACAAAGCTAAAAGTTGTTAGTGAGGAGAAAATTAACTAGATATGACAATGAAGAGCTGCAGGGACAGCTACCCTACCTCAGGGTTGGTGGTAAAATGGTATGGGTGAGACAACAGCAACTACTTAAAAGGACTGCTGGAGAAGCAATGCACCTAGGGCACATTCAGGTAGAAGGCAAAGCAACACTGTGGAAGAGATTAAGAGTATGAGAGAGCTTTATCAGTGATAGTAAATTCTAAATTCATAGTGGGAAGGTTTGGGGCATTGGGAAAGATACAGCAGTCAGATTCAGGGATGTAAAGAACCACATGAGGATGACAGTCTGAATGCTGACATATGACCTTGCAGCTTTGGTCTCTTGGAATAATTGCTACAACAGAGATAAAGCATGTAACCAAAGAGACACAAGATAGCAATGAAAAAGGCACAATATAGTATGCCTTTCTTCATACAGTATGAGCTGGGGGGTTTACAGGCCCAAAGTCAGTCTCTCACGTCTATTTTTGTACACATTACCTAAAGAAATAAAACAAAAGAGGCTCTGGATTGGTGCCTACATTATCTGACGAGGATACGCAACAGGCAGACAAAATGGTGAAATGTAAAAATGGAATAAAGACCAGCAAAAGAACAATATTCTACTTTGTAGCATGAGCACTCTAATGATTTTTAAAACTAGATACTACTACAGTAAGCCTGCCTAGCTCCTGGATTCGTTACATGCAGTTTTGACCAAGTACAACAGAAAAAAAGTTTTAAATGACAATTGAAAGCAATTTCAAAAACAAAAATGTTAAATTCCCACACATGCATTAAGCAGCTTAGCTACTCAGGAGGTAGAGCTCTGAGAATAGAAGGAGGCTCTCATAGCCTCCTTGTCAGTTGTGTTTAAATTGTTGTGTGATCTGACAAGTGTTTCCCTGCCCTTAATTCTGTGAAAATCTGCCTCCCCAAAAGCAAACGGTGAGGTGGGCTGAGATCAGGATTGAGGTTCAAAGCCAGCCTGGACAAAAAGTTTGAGAGACCATATCTTCAAAATAACCACAGCAAAGTGAACTGGAGCTGTGGCTCAAGAGGTAGAGCATCTGCTTTGCAAGCATGAATCCCTGAGTTCAAACCCCTGTCTTGTCAAAATAAGAATTCAACAAATGTTGAATTATTAGAACCAATAGTACAAAAGTTATGGAACACTGCTCTAAAATATAAGTTTTTTGCAATTTATTAGCTTATAAGATGGAACAGTAGGGGAAAATGTGTTTTGTAGTTTTACATTAGATATGTCTGATCCTTAACCAGAAATCTACCAAATTTTTTAGGCCAGAAAAATGATGTCTTTTATAGAGGACAACATAGTGAATGGCTTTAATCCAGCTACTCAGGAGAGGTGGAGCTCTGAGATCAGAAGGATTGCTGTTTGGTTGAGGCTAGTCCTGACAAAAAGTTTGTGAGACCCCCATCTCAACAAACAAGCTGGGTGTGGTAAGGCATAGCTATAATCTCAGTCATGTAGGAGGCATAAGCAGGAGGCTCATGGTCTGAGGCTGGCCCCAGGTCAAAAGTATGAGACTCTATCTGAAAAAAATAACTAAAGCAAAAAAAGGGAGGGGCACGGTAGAGCGCCTATCTAGCAAGCACACAGTCTGAGTTCAAACCCCAACCAAAAAAGAAGGAAGGGAGGGAAGGAGGGAGGAAAGAAGGAAGGAAAGAGGGAAGAAAGGAAGAGAAAAATCAAAACAGTAAAATAGGCCAGGCACCAGTGGCTCACGCCTGTAGTCCTAGTTACTCAGGAGGCAGAGATCAGGAGGATTGCAGTTCGAAGCCAACCCCAGGCAAATAGCTCACAAGACTCATCACTAAAAGGGCTGATGGAATGGCTCAAAGTGTAGGCCCTGAGTTTAAGTCCCAGCACCACAAAAAAAAAAAAAAAAAGAAGAAAATTGGACAATTTCCTCCTTTTTTTTTCATACTGTAAGAAGTATAAACATTTCTAAAAGCAAACTAAAAACTACAAGAGATTTTGTCATACATACTTTTGTATGTTCATATGGGATGTCCACAGAAGGGTGATAGCATACTATTGTCCTGCCATCAGATGTCAAAGCCAGCTCTACTTTGCTAAAAGACAATATTTCAGAAATACAGTTACAATGTATCCAAGGCAGAAAGATTACTCAGAGAGCTAAGTCAATTCCTGAGCTGTGGTGTTACTAGATGCTGTTACTAGATTCTGTTACTAGATTGGTAAACCTGGTGCCCATAACACAGGTGAGACTCAAGACCATCCCACAGAACACATCAGCTTCACTACCCACAACACCATAGCCAGTCATTAAACTGTAAGGTATTTTATCTTACAGAGGATAAAGCATGAGATGGTTTCACCATGATTTTACAATTATCAAATCAAATGATTTTTGATGAAAGATGAAGTTTTACAAAATGTCTCAACTTGCTCAGGTTCATGCAAAAGGTCACATAGCCTAACTTCATCACTAACTACTTTCCATGTACATGTACATTAATTGTACATTACAATTAAGAAAAGAATATACTTTTACTAAAATTTGTAATAAAAACCATACAACTTGAGTTACAGTTTCTGCATACTAACTCTGCAGTAGAGACCATGTCATGTTATTCCTAGTTCTTAGCATACTGACTAAAATTGAATAATACCAACAAATGTCCTGAATTCAGTATTTGTAATTTAGGATTATTCAATGTCAAACAAAAGATAAATAATTACGTAAGCTAACAGATATGAACCCCAAGAAAAGACTATAGAAACGAATTAACTTTTCCAAAAAGCTAATGCAGGCTTGAAAAATAGCATTTCAAACAGCATATCTGTCTTACAACAAATTAAGTATCTGCTAAAACACGATAATGATTTTTATTTAAAATGTTTATATTTACTGTATAAATAAGATCACTGAGGTTATTTTTAAAAACAGAATTAAAGAAACAATAACCAGAAAAGCAAGCAGAAAATAATATTAAACTATTTTAGATACAGCTAGGAGTGTTATTTTTCAACTGAATTTTAATACATACCAATTATAGTCATCTGGAAGAGAAGAATACGTAGACTTATGACAAATACAAGATAAAGCTCCGTCTGCAAAAACCCCAAATAGTAAAATACATTTAATTAATTTGCACATATGTTCTCACGTATTAAATTTAAAGCTACTTTTAGTCATTCTGCCAATATTTACTGTTGGCTTTAAAACAGGTCTGTTCTAGTGGCTAGGTATTCAATAAGAAAGACTGAGTCCCTGCCATCAAATAAGTATAGTCTACTGGTGACAGAGACAGATAAGAAAGAGTTCAACTACAGAAATATGTGCTGTTAGGATGGGTGTGCACTGGGAGGGAGAGGGGTACATGGACAGGCTTCCAAAAACATAGCCTTTCCAGTGGAGATAATTGTCTAACGTGCTCTGAAGGAGGAGGAAATAAATAGGGGTTGAAAAGGGGTGAATACAATGTTCCTTGCAGAGGAAGTAACAAGGGCAAGGATGACAGATTTTTAAAAGAGAGAGAGAGAATAGGTCCTGGGTTTCTCTGCTGCTAGGCTGGTCCAGCCCACAGGTAGGGAGGCAAGGCCCATGTGGAGTGGCATCCATGGGGAGGTGGGCTCAGCTTGCATGAGGAAGGCCTCCATCTACTTCATGGAGCTGCCCAGGTTGAGAGTGAGCATTCTGAATGTTTCCTTAGCTTGCACCACAGAGAGCACAGCAGACCTGAGTTCCTGCCTACCCCATCCCCACATCAGGTCCAAGCCCTTTCCCTAGGGAGATGGTAACCATACGCTGTTCCATAACCCTCACGTGAATTCATTTCTGACTAGCTATGAGTAAAAAGAACCTATACCATCACTCAGGCACAAGGAACCACAGCAGTGATGTGGAACATTAATCTGCATGTGGACCAGAAAAGTGTACCAGATCTTAGTTCACCTTCCTTTCTTGTAGCAAATGACAAGAACACTGACCTCCCAGCCCTTTGCTTGTGGAAGAAGATGGCTTCAATAAATAACTTAAGCTTAAGTTGGGAAAGAAAAAAGAAAAGAAAAGAGAAAGAAAAGTATTTGGATATTCCAACCTTTCTAAGAAAACAAATGAAGTATTTGGGCATTCCACAGTACAGTTTATAAAAGGGCACGTTAAGTGATGAAATACAAAATAATTTATTCAAAATTAACTTCTTTTAATCAAAACGCTCACATTTAAATGCATATTTTCTTCTTTTGCAGAATACCTACAAATTCAAGGGTTGAAATTACTTTTAAAAGGTTGGCAAAAGGTCTTTTTATGTTCAAAGAAGGAATATTCTTGTAAATACAAAGAAAGACATTGTGGAGGTAGCTCAGTATCATTACAAGTAAATTCTGAACATATTGGCTAAAGCCCAGGACCAACCTGTCTAAACAGAGAGCCTCTTGGTCATGTTGCTTGGGTCTACGACCTATCACCATCCCTACATCTCTACCACGCCCTCAGTATAGAACACCAACTGTTCAAACACCACTCATCCTTCAAAGTCAAGAGTACTTTCATGAAATCCTTTTCAGCCTCCCTATTCCCTAACCACTATCACAGAAGTGTTGTTTATATTTCATGTCCCATAATCAATTCTTCATATGACATTGCTGTACCTTCTTTGTAGTTCTCTCCCCCACCCTGTGTTAGTTATTGTAAGAATCCAGTGGTTTAATATGCTTTTTAAAAATTGTAAAATTCTACATTCCATGTTGACTATATTTTTGGGAGAGTTTTAAATATTCCTTGTAGAATATAGGGAAGTCTTTTAATTTTTGCTCATTGTGCTTTCTTCCTATATGATGGGTTTTGCTTGGCCTCCAATCTTTTCTTTTTTGGTGGTACTGGGGTTTGAACTCAGAGCCTCACCCTTGCTAGGCATGTGAGGTCATGCCCTTTTGAGCCATGCTCCCCAGCCCTAGCCTCCAATCTCAATATCCTTTCCTTTCATATAAAATACCAATAACAACATTCAATACTTAGCTTACTTTTAATAATAATAATAGGAACTATGTAGGTAAGGGGTTTCAGGATATAAAAGTTAGGAAGTCACTGATTATTAGGATGACTGAGTGATAACAGATTTACTTGGGTAAGCTAAATTGGCTCCTAGTTAATTATATATTCTGATAATAATTCCAATTCATTTGTAACAGTTCAAGTAACATTTATCCCCTTATGTATAAGAGGCACCATAATACAAATATATTAGGAACTCTAGTAGGAAAAAGTTTCGTGATAGTCAGTTGTCCAGAGTTGGAGTAACTAATTTTCAGATTAATTTATGTTTTAAGGCATGGCCTATGTAAAAACTGATTAGTTTTGGCTTCTCATTAGCCCTGGGATTGTGTTCCTGTTAAAAGCAAATAGGAAGCGAGTAGCAGGGGCCTTTCTCCCAATTCTCAACAACAAAAATGCTCCTAGATAATCAACAGCTGACCATAAATTTGTTTTGACTCTTATTTTATTTATAGCTAAAGTTTCTTAGCAATTGCCTTCTGTATTTATATAAGCTGAAATTATTTTGAGTATGATATGATAAATGGTATAATGCTCAGAGTCCTAAAAAAAGGGTAGAGGAAAGGAACAGAAGGCTTCCTATAAAAGCAGGATTTAGAAAACTTTTGAACATTCTATTGAAAATAGGTAGCCAGGCACCAATGGTTCATGCCTGTAATCCTAGCTACACAGTAGGCAGAGATTAGGAGAACTGCTGTTCAAAGCCAGCCCCTGGCAAATAGTAAACAAGACCCTGTCTCGAAAATATCCAATACAAAAAAAGAGCTGGTGGAGTGGCTCAAGTGATAGAACGCTATGCCTAGCAAGCGTGGGGTCCTGAGTTCAAGTCCCAGTACCATAAAAAAAAAAAGAAAAAAGGTGTTTAGTGAGAAAAACAGTTTTCCTTGCCTGAAGTGCCTCCAAATTACCTATTTATTATTTTTCACCCTAGCCTTCAAAGAACTCTTTTCCCTCTAATTCAATAAACAAACTTTGAGTACAAATAGTAGTAAATAGAAACATGAAGAGAATGTAGTCAGCCAAGATGTATTTTTAAAAGTTGGCAAAGGTTACGTTTCTAACCATGCCTATTTTGGATATGGGAGAACAGAAGTCATAGAAAAGGAGGATAAAGACAGCTGAGAAACAAGACTTTCATATTCTATTTACTTATATGGGTCCATAGTTTGACTATCAAACATGTATAAATATGCTTTCAAGAAAATATTACACAATTCTTTAACAAGGTAGCTTTTATTTTCTAATACATCCATAGGGAAAAAGTGCAAAATGAATACATCAAGCTATTTATTAACAATAATTATCTTTGAAAGACCAAACTGTGAATTTACCTTTCATTTGCAAATTTGAAGAGCTACTAAAAAAAGTAACAGATGTAAATATACTAAGTATAAATGTTTCACATGAGACAAAGTCAACCTTTAACAGTCCCTCATCTAACTCCCACTAGAAGTCTACATAGATAACCAATGTTTAATCCAAATCTTTTACTCTGTATTTATGCATTGCACACATGGGAAGCATGCACACACGTGTGTGTGTGTGTGTAATGTATCATCTTTTTTTTTTTTGACAGTACTGGGGCTTGAACTCAGATCATGTTTGCTAGGCAGGCACTCTACCACTTGAGCCACTCTAATAGCCCTGTGTATCATTGTATCATCTTTTAAACATACAAATAGGATCATATGATAGCTATCATTCTGTTATGCCTTTTCTTTCTCTTCTATTTGGCCATCTTTCTATGTTGGTATCAGCTGCATAGTTAGGATGTAGCAAAATTTATTCATTCCCCTTTTAACTGACTTGCAGGTTTTTGTCCCCTTTTTTATTATTGCAAACAGTCCTGCAAATAACAAGCATACAGGATAAGTAAATCCTTTAAATATTCTTTAATATTTGAAAAAAGTTTAAGCTTTTTAATCATTAAAAAAAACCTCTCACTTAGGCTGGTGCAGTGACTCATGCCTATAATCCTAGCTATTTGAGAGGCCAGGCCAGGCAAATAATTCTTGAGACCCTATTTCCAAAATAACCAGAGCAAAATGGACTGGAGGTGTGGCTCAAGCCATACAGTACCTGCTTTGCAAGTGTGACGCCCTCAGTTCAAACCTCAGTCCCACCTAAAAAGCAAAACAAAAAAACTCACTTACTTTGGTATGGAAAGAAATGCTTCAAGATAGTTCTCTTTGATATCACCCATTTTACTGCTGCTGCCATGTTGTATCAAGATGCTTTATTAGGTGGAATGAAAAAGATATTGTGAAGAGAAACTGCCTTTAAAATCTGCTTCTAAGCATACTGATTTTCATACCTGCTTAAGAGAGAAAGAAAAATCACTGTTATGGTAAATTTAAACAGTACAAGAACAAGATAGGACTCACAAGGTAGTACTAGTCACTGGAAGCAAACTTTTTAAACAACTTTGCAGTTCCACACAATTAAACAATAGGCCTATCCTTGGCTTATGAAATACTTGAAGGAATGCATAAATTTCACTATCTTGCCACACATGGTGGTGCACACTGGTAATCCCAGCACTCAGGAGGCTGAGGCAAGAGGATCCCAAGTTGGAGGCCAGCCTGGGGCAACATAGGAAAAGCCTATCTCAAAACCAAAAACATAAAAATAAAATAAATTTCACCATCTTATATGCATATAAGGATTTAAACTTTCCAAGGGGCTTTCATCACCATTTTCTTTTACTCTCATACTAATCATGTGAAGTATCCTTATTTTTTTTTCTTTTATTATTCATATGTGCATACAAGGCTTGGTTCATTTCTCCCCCCTGCCCCCACCCCCTCCGTTACCACCCAAGTATCCTTATTCTAACTCACGAAGAAACTAACATGCAAAATTTAAAGGACTTCCTTCTGAGGATGTTAGTTGGTCACTTACAAATTGGAATATTTTGGGCAAATAATTAACTAAATGCCCCATTTCTTCAATGGTAAAATGCGGGAAAGACCACAATCTCCAGGAGCTGATGTGAATAAATGACGTGTAAATACTGTGTCCTTGCCTCCTTGACTATTTGTGCCCTTCCCAGAAGGATACTGATGAATTAGGACACAGTCTAACGGCAGTCTGATCACGCCACTGCCAACCCTGAGTCCATACAGTGTGTTATTTACGGTTTCCTATACGTTATGAGCACTGACTTTCAGTAAGTCTGTGAAGTAGACACTTTTCATCTCACAGATTAATTAAAGCTCAGAGTGGGCAAATGATTTATCTGTTCGCTATTCCACTGCTTAAAGGGTGGCATGGGTAGAACACAAGCCCAAGAACAAAACAATGGAGGGGGCTGGGGTCCCTATGCCCAAGGCCCGCACACTGTTCACCCCAGGGAGCGAATGTCAGAGGGCAAATCCTTTGACACGGAATTCAACCCAAGAGCAAACGCTAGCGCCTCAGAGGGTCTGAGGTTTGAGGAACAGACTTCCAGGAGCACAGGGACAGATCAGACAGACGTCGACGAGGAGAGGTCCCCGGAGCCACAAAATCAAATCGGCTCCAGACCGCCATCCGCCACGGCACGCTACAGGGAGCGCACGGTCACATGCCTGCCCTTCTGCTGGAGATACCGGCAGCTTCACCCTGCAGAACATGACAGGTGCAAGTCCTCAACACCTGCGGATAAGCCTTCGGGGTCTACCCTCCTTCTAGAGACTCCTCCACCAGAGGAGAGGACAGCGGTTACCTTGACAGCTACTTACCGCGAGCCCGCCATCTTGCCCCAATCCGGGTTCTGCGAGACGTCTGCCCGCGCGGTCACTCGGCCCGCGAGGCATTCTGGGAGGCGTAGTCTCTGCGAGAAAGCAGCTCGTATGCAAAGAGTGGGCGGGGCTTGGCGTTACCATTTCCCGCCTTTAGCTGGAGTCTTAGGGGAGTTCCTGCCTTGCAAGTGGATGGGTTAACTGGATGTGTGCTTTTGTTCACTAGCTTGCCAGTTCAGTTCATGACCCAGGGAAATCCGAAAGAGTAGGTTTGGGGTTGGTCTGATAAGGGTAGAAATAAATTCTTCCGTTTGGGAGTTGTTGAGTCGGAGAGCCCTCTGACCCATCCAGGTGGAGTTGTAAACTGAGGCAGGTCGCTGGAAACATGGGTTTGAAGAGTAGAGACAGGGCTAGATATAACTGTGAAGCATCGGGGAGGGCTGAGGATTGTACCTCATTGGCACAGTGCTTGCCTAGCATGCCCGAGGTCTTGGGTTTGCTCTCTAGCCCTGCAAAATAAATAAATTAATTAAATAAGTAAACTTACGTTGAGCCCGGGTGGGAAGAGAGTGTAGATAAAAAGAGAAAGGGGCTCCAAACCTGGTCCTAGGGAATTCTCACACTTAGAGATCATGTGGAAGAAGTCAGGTAGCACAGGCCTCTCAGACGTGGCATTGCAAAAATACAAACTCAAAACTGTCAAATGGAGCTCGGGAGGGGGCTCATTGGTAGGGCAAATCTTACCTAGCATGTGTGAGGCTCTGGGTTCCATCCCCAGCACCACAAAAACAAGAACAAAAAACAAAAACTTAGACTGGTCAAAGACATGGTGTATATGCTTGGTCTCCCAGTTCATATGGCTGATGAGTATGGCTGTTAGTCATGCTAATCTCTATCAAAATACTACTTTCTTGTACCTGGTTCACTCTTAAGGTACTGTGGCCTTCTACCCTAAAACCACAGTTGGGATGGGGAAAACAAAAACAAAATTGCCTTTCATTAAAAAATCTCTTGAGACTATTTCTCATAAAGTTGGAGGGGAAAAAAAGAAACAGCATCAAATTAATGGTAGTAAAATGATAAAACAAAAAATTGAAAGCAGGCTCCTGAGTCTTGGACCTCCTACTGCAATTTTTACAAAAGAGAGAAACTTTTATCTTGTTTAAATTACCGTTATTTGGATTGCGTTTTACTAGCGGTGGAGTCTAATCCTGACTGAAATGAATGCATCAAGGAAAATTTTAATATATAAGTCAAAAATACATAAAAACAATTATATTGATTAAAATGTAAGATCTTCCATGTTACTAATATGTACAATACAGACCACAAATTATAATTTACTTTCCCTTCAAAGCTCTCTTATGAGCCCTCCAAATGATTTTGACATTTATGTCTTGTCTTACCATAGATAAGACTGTATTCTTTCTTATCTGAAGAGCTGCTAGGGGCCCAGCATGTTAGGGAGGCAGTAAAAAAGTTAATAAGTGAATTCTGAGATTCCGTTTGCCTAAATTTAAATCTTAACTCCCCTACTTCTTAGTTATGTTATTTTGGATAATTTAATTACTAATATTTTTGAGTCTCAGTAATAATGGTGCTCTCAGAGGCTCTGAGTTCAAACCCCAGTACCAACAACAACAACGAAAAGTAATACTGATGTTCTCTACTTCATAGAACTGCTGGGTGGATCCAAAACAGAAGAGAGATAAATGCTTAGCAAAGTCCTTGGCATGTAGTAAGCACTCATTCAACACCAGCAGATATAAAGACTTGTCCCCAGTATAGCCAAAAAGAAAAAAAAAAAACAAAACTTGTATGATAAATTTTATGAACAGCTAATCCAAGAGATAACTTTTTCCTGAAGTTTTAAAATAAAATATTTCCCTTTCCCTAACTCAGGAATAATAAGGGGAACATAAAAAATAAATTTAGTCTAAAATAAGTAATGATTTCTAACTTGAAGTTGTTACTCCTGTTGGGGTCCCTGCAGAAAACAGATGACACTCAAATTGGGAAAATTCCAGGAGGAATTCTTCACAAAGGTATGAGTAGAGTAGAGGAATCGAAAGTAGTCACAGTGCAAACCAGGCTTAGTTACACCAGGTATTGGTTCATTCCTGGCCCTCCAGGTCTGAAGGAACAGACAGGAAGAGTTACCAGACTCCCGCCCTTTCTTCTTTTAGACTGAGGTTTGAACTCAGGGCTTCACACTGGCAAAGCAGGTGCTCTATTTCTTGAGCCACACCTCCAGTCCATTTGGCTCTGGCTATTTTGGAGATGGGTCTCTTGAGGTATTTCCCTGAGCTATCCTTGAACTACCAGTCTCCCAATCTCAGCCTCCCAAGTAAGTAGAATTACAGGTGTGAGCCACTGTGCCTGGCTGCCAGACCCCCTTGACAGGAAAAGTAACCTTTGTTGAAGAGCAGCGCCACCCTGAGGTGACCTTGTAGGAGGAATAACCCACAGTGATGATTATTCTGCCTTGTCCTCCATCCTTCCCTTCTCCTACAAACTAAAGACAAGACTGTCCCCCACTTCAGATGCCATTATAAGATTTAGATTTACATGTAGCTATAGATTCAGATATAAACATATATATATATATATGGTATATATAGGTACATGTGTTATATTCTCAAACCCAATTAGACAATAGTATTACAAGAGGGGTTTGGTAGGTTCAGCTTATTTCATTTTATATATATACATTTATATATAATTATATCATATATACAATATATACAAATATATACATATATATATAATGAAATAAAAATGCTTATATATGCATATATATATTTGTATGTGTATATTCTATGTATATTTAAGCACTTAGAACACATAAGAGAATTTGGACTATTAGGTTTGTTTTGTGGCCTATTAAATTATCTTTATGATTCTAATATTTTAAAACTTTTGGCCAGTGTGGTGGTGCATAACTATAATCTCAGCACTTGGGAGGCTGAGCCAGGAGAATCTTAAGCTGAAGGCTGACCTGGGCTACATAATGAGATGCTGTCTGGGAAAAAACCAAAAACTTTTATTACAGAAAAATTCAAACATATGCAAAATTAAAAAGAACAGTTGGACTGGAGACATGACTCAGGTGTTAGAGTGCCTGCCTAGCAAGTGTGAGGCCTTAGATTCAAACCCCAGTACTACTAAAAAAAAAAGCCTGGCATACCTGTAATTTCTGGAGGCTGAGGCAAGGAGGATCATGAGTTTGAAGCCAGTGTGGGCTGCACAGTGAGACCCTGTCTCAAAAAAAAAAATAGTTGCAATAAGGCTGGAGATGTGGCTCAAATAGCAGAGTGCCTGCTTTGCAAGTGTGAAGCCCTGAGTTCAAATCCCAGTCCCACCAAAAAAAAATGTGTAGTAAACTACTATCTGCCTCTCATTCAGCTTGAGCAATCATCAACTTGGGACCAATTTTGTTTCAACTGCACTCCCACCATGTACCTTCTCCTGTATTATTTTGAAGCAAATGCCAGGTAGTCCATCATTTCACCTATAAATATCTCAGTAAGAAATGCTGACAGGTCCCCTGTGATGCAGGGAATGCTTGGTTCTAGCTGACCTTGCAGAGATCAAATGTCTGACTGCCTCTGCCTAATTCCAGTTCTGCAGTCAGCAAACCTGTGGCTTCTCTGTCCAGTATAACCGCTGCCTGTCTCTACTATGGGTCCCTCCCATCAACTTTTAGTCTCAATCCAGAGATAAGAAGAATTATAGTGTTTTCAATATGATTATATCCTTAAAGTAACTTAAAAACCGACTTGAAGGGGAAGAGTGGAGACAATGAGCCTCAAGTGTCTTCTTATATATAATCTCTGGCTGTGTATTGTATCTTATTTTTATTTTCTAAATAGATTATTTCAATAAAAGAATCTTTGCCAAAGGTAAAGATTTCTTTCTTCTAGTATAACAATATCACTGTGCAGTTTTTAAAAACTGACAATAATTGTTTAGTGTTGTTAGATATCAAGTCAACATGTGACTTTCCAAATGACTCATAAAGGTCATATTTTCTACTGTCTTTGCTTGGTGAATGAGGATCCAAATTAGTATTTCAATCTCCTTAATTTGTGTCTCCTCCATTTTCCCCCCTTGCATTTATTTACTGAGAAACTAGGTTGTTTGTGTTGAAGAGATTCTCACAGTATGGACTTTGCTGAGTCGTCCTTGGGGCATATTCCTAACATGTTCCTAAGTACTTAGTATTTCCTATAAGTTGTGATTCCAGTGTAAACTGGTCATTAGGTAACCCGTTTAGACTTGTGATTCTGTGTTAAAGGTTGTAAGAAAATTGTATTAGGTTTGTAAGTGTCATACAATTAGTTAATAGGAGAGTCACTATGTTTAAATTTATTTATTTATTTATTATTTTTTTGGAATTTGAACTCAGATCCTCACACTTGCCAAGCAGGCTCTGCCACTTGAGCTACTCTGCCAGCCCTTAAATTTATTCTTTTTTTTAATTTATAAGAATTATTTAGGGGGCTGGTAGAATGACTCAACTAGTAGAGTGCCTGCCTAGCAAAGTGTGAGGCCCTGAGTTCAAACCACCAAAAACAAAAACAAAAAAAAAAAACCAAGACTTATGTAGGTGCTTGGGTCTGTTTACCAGTCAGAAAATTGAAGGGCTGGAAAATAAAATTGAATATGTTAAATTTATGAATGCCATTAAAAATGCTTATATGTGTTTAACTTACTTGAATATTATTTTAGTTGTTAGTCTTATAAATGGAATAATAAGATTTGTAAATTGAAATTGAAAG